TGGCGTTATGAAACATCTCGAGGCGGAGATGGTTTCTTATCCTCGGCGCCCGGAAGCCGTGTTCGGTCTTCGGGGCCGCCGAACACAGATCCAGAGGCGGAGCAGTGGTCTCCAAGAAGCTGTCGGTAGGTGGGGGGGGCCCGGACCGCGAAATCAAGACCTCGGTGGAGGATGGATACCACCGTTCCGTTCTTCCCCACAGCCTGGAACATCGACTTCATGCGTTCTCCGAGAGACCTCGCGTTGTGGTGCCAGGCTTGCCCGTCGACCCCCGCGATGTGGTCGCCGACAAGGACCTCTCTGTCAGGATTGGCCTCGTTCCACTCCTGAGGGAGAGGGGGGGGCGGAGGAGGAGGAGGAGGAGGAGGAGGAGGGGGAGGAGGAGGAATGCAACACATGCACATGCAAACGAAAACTCGGACCACCTCCTCCTCCTCCTCCTCCTCCTCCTCCTCCTCCTCCTCCTCCTCCTCCTCCTCACCAAGCCCGCCAGCGAGCCCCGCCCTCCTCCTCCTCCTCCTCGCGCTCGCAAAAGCGAGCCAGCATCGCACTGCGAGATCTCGCGATCCTCTGAGGTCGAGCATCTCCTGGGACAAAGGAAAAGACAGGCTCACAGAGGCCGTGCTGGCGGGGAAATCACACGGATCGCAAAAACGGAAGCGTCGGCGCGGATAGCAACGGAAAGCTGCGCGAGCGCGCCTGAAGTCACCCAACTGGCTGGCACGAAGAGCTGTCGCGGCCCAATCGCGCTTCCTCCTCCTCCTCCTCCTCCTCCTCCTCCTCCTCCTCCTCCTCCAAGTCCTCTCAGTCCTCCTCCTCCCTCCTCTTGCTCCTCCTCGTCCTCCTTTTCCTCCTCCTCCTCCTCCTCCTCCTCCTGGGAGCCGGTGGCAGGCTGGGCACGGGGCGCAGCGCGGGCAGCGCAACACCGCCGGCTTCGCAGAGAGCAGATATCCTTGGCAGTCTCCAGCGGGGCCCTGCGGTCCCAGGCTTCTGGAATCAGCATGAGTTTGATCACCGAGAACCTGGCCAAATTCAGGCAGCTCAGCAAGCTGGGGAGGAGTGATCGGCCGATTGGAACGTGGCTGGAGAAGAGCAAGAACAGCGCGAACAGGCTGGCATTGCAGAGTTCGAAATATCAAACGCATTCGCGCCAATGATAAGATTGCGAAGAAGAGCAGGGCGCAGAGTGGTATACGTGATCGATCCGGACGGTTTCAATTACAGCCGAACCCCTCTTGCCCCTCCTCGCATCCTGGTCCTGGAGGGGTGTCCTGGTTCTGGTCATGTTCGATAATATGCATGGATTGATGGGCCTAGCAAGAAATTCCAGTCGCCCATGACAAGAACATGGACTTGAAACTCAGACCCCCCGGGCCGGCTCCGCTGAAAATCGCGCCGCAGGCATTGAGGAACACCCGCGAAGAGAAAAAGAGAGAAAGAGAGAAAGGGAGAGAGAGGAAGAGAGAGAGAGAGAGAGAGAGAGAGAGAGAGAGAGAGAGAGAGAGAGAGAGAGAGAGAGAGAGAGAGAGAGAGAGAGAGAGAGAGAGAGAGAACAAAAAAAAAGAGAGCGAAGGGGATCAGACGCGCTAGGGAAGCGAAGTTCGTCGATGGTATAGTTCCCTGGCGGCCCGCGGAGAACGCTCTTTGAGGGCTCTCCCAACAGTGGAGGGGCGCTGCTCGATAGAGGTGGAACACCCAGAGGCTTCGCAGGAATCGCCGCGTTGACCCCGCCGTCGCGAGTGGAGTTGCAGAACTGGGAGCAGCCGAGATCAGCCGAGGGCGCGATCGCGCAGTCCACGCTCGAGCTTGACTCTGCCCCGCCCGCCATGCCAATGCGTTTCTTGTGCTGCTGTAGTGTCGCCTGCGCTGCATGCCTGTAGGTATCGCGCGCATCTCGTCCTCCTCCTCCTCCTCCTCCTCCTCCTCCTCCTCCTTCCTACCCCTCCCTCTCCCCCTCCTGCCCCTCCTCCTCCTCGCGCTCGCGCGCCAAGCCGGGCGGCGCACGGAGCGCAGCAGCGCATCGGCACTCCGCGCGCAGGCCGACAAAGACAAATAGGGAATGGAAGAGGGAGGAAGTGGAGGGGGGGGGCACCAAACAGAGGAGGAGGAGGAAGTGGAGGAGGAGGAGGAGCTGAGGAGGAAGTGGAGGAAGTGGAATGGAGGGAAGTGGAGGAGGAGGAGGAGGAGGAGGAGGAGGTGGAGGGGCGGGAGATGGGGCACTGACCATACGCGGCGCGGAGCTGCCAGCCCCAGCGCCCAAGCGGGAGACGCAGCTGAAGGGCTGCCTCCGCCTGCGCGGGGGGCGTCTCGCCCTGAAGGCCAAACTCGACGAACACATCGCGGTCAAGCTTGGAGCCGACGACTCCGCCCGCAGCAACTGTACTTTTGACGGCAGGAGCTGCGCCATGGGCGCGCCTCAAAATATAAAGGGAACCGCCAGTGTCGGCGATGTCTGCTTCGAACCCGTCTGGGGCATGCGCGCGCGTGTGTGTGTGTGTGTGTCTGTGTGTGTGCGTGTGTGTCTGCGTGGGTGTGACTGCGTATGTGTGTGCGTGCGTGCGTGCGAGCGTGCGCGCGACCGTGCGTGCGCGTTTGTGTGTGCGTGTGCATGTGCGTGTGCGTGTGCGTGTGCGTATGCGTATGCGTATGCGTATGCGTATGCGTGTGCGTATGCGTGTGCGTGTGCGCGTGCGCGTGCGTGTGCGTGTGCGTGTGCGTGTGCGTGTGCGTGTGCGTGTGCGTGCGTGTGTGTGTGTGCGTGTGTGTGTGTGTGTGTGTGTGTGTGTGTTTGTGCGCGTGTGCGTGTGTGTGTATGTGTTTGCAAGCGTGCGTGCGTGCGCGCGTGCGAGCGAGCGAGCGAGCGAGCGTGCGAGCGTGTGTGTGTGTGTGTGTGTGTGCGCGCGTGCGTGCGTGCGAGCGTGCGTGCGAGCGTGCGTGCGCGTTTGCGTGTGCGTGTGCGTGTGCGCGTGCGTGTGCGTGTGCGTGTGCGTGTGCGTGTGCGTGTGCGTGTGGGTGTGGGTGTGTGTGTGTGTATGTGTGCGTGCGTCTGTGCGCGCGTGCGTGCGCGCGCGTGCGTGCGTGCGCGCGTGCTTGGGGAAGGAGGGGGCAACTCGGCGAGGTTAGCGCGTGCCCTGCCAATCGACAAAGAAAAGAGCTGCCGCTTATTCATCTGCGAAGGAGGAGCGCGAGGAGAGCGTCTCGGTGAATGGGGTCAGGCGTCGCCCAGGAGCCTGCAGCGCTCGCGAAAATGTCGCGGAAGTTGGTGGAGGCGTCGGGGTTCTCGAAACGCAGTGCTACCTTCCTGCTCCAGTCAAATGCACGCACGACGACGTTGTCCTGATCCTGAAGAGGAGCGACCCGCGCATTGCAAGCCGCGCCAAGTGCTCACAGGTCTGAAACGAGAAGCGGGCGAGGAAATCCTTAGATAACAAGTTTGCACACGCCGCGCTGGCGACGTTCACCAGAGGGCTGACCACCAAGAGACCAAGAGACATGGAAGCCGTCGTACGAGATGATGGGGGCGATGGGGGGCGGGGTGGAACCGAATCTCGCGCACCTGTTGTTCTGAGACCTTCGGCGCATCAGTGGGTGCCGCGGTCTGCTTCTCAAGACCATTGCACCTCTCAGAGATGAGCGGGTGGCAGATGTCTACGTCCAGGGGGGGGCGCGCCTGCGAAACTTTTGGCGCGCGGCCTCTATCTTCTGGCCCTGGTTCGACCTGGCGGCCGCGAGCCGGCCCCGAAGCTGAGCGTGGCGTCGATTGACGTCGCGGCCCGTCAACGCTAGCTCATCTGCGAGCTCGCCCCACCGAGCTGCGCAATCTTGAACAGACGCACGAAGGCCCACGACGTCCACAATATTCTGCATCATCACCTGCTCGGGGCTCGACAGGCTGCCCGTTCCGGGGATGGGTAGAACCCCTATTTAGCAAAACGTGGTCTCGTGACAGCGGCCTCGGGCCCAAACCTGGCGGGCGCAGGCCTGGAAGACGGCGGTCGTGGCACCCTCTCGAGAACCGAAGACGGACATTTCACCGACCGACGTGTCAGGGCGGGGGTGCTGTCCACCCCCGTCTGTCATGGTCTCGGGCCGCCTGGAGGATGCGAGGGGCGTCGCGCTTCGGCCGATGGCGCCCAGAGACTTCGGCTGGCCGAGGGGCGCGGACCCGATGGGGGCGGTTGACGAGCTGCGCGCGGCAGCACCTCGCCGCTCGGGGCGTCGCGGCCTCCCCATCGCGGCAGCGGACGAGCGACGGTTGGCAAGCGGGTCCCCGACGTGTTCGAAAATGTTTCAAACCGGGCCGCCGAGGGAAAAAAACCCGATCCACCAAACGAGGAGCCACAAGAGGCCGGTGTGGCGGGCCGCCTCGTCCGATCCTCAAGGAGGGGTCACCGAACCACTTCGGCAGATGCATAACTTGAGCCAAGATGGCCACGGAACTGGGCTTGAAGCTTCTGATGCGGCTTCGTGTCCGCAGCCGCTGCAGCCTCGCGAGCTCAAGAAGACTGCTTGCCCACGCCAGTGCCGCGACGAGTGCGGAACAAGGGCTCCTCCTTTTTCTGCCAGAAGCCGACGGGGCCGTCGACTTCGGTCGCTTGCTGATGTAGCACTCGGTGTTCTCCGTAAGTTTGGGGAACGGTTTCCCCGATGAGCGGAGACACCTTCGCAGTGTTACGTGTTCTTGTTTTCCTCCTTCGTTTCCCTCTTGTTTTATTGTTTATATTATTATTAGTATTACTATTATTATTATTATGATTATTATTATTATTATTATTATTGTTATTATTATTACTATTATTATTAGTAGTATTATTATTATTATTATCATTATCATTATTATTACTATTAGTATTGCTACCATGATAATTATTATTGCTATTATTATTACTATTATCACTATTATTAGTATCATTATTATCATTATTATCAGTATTAGTATTAGTATTGGTATTAGTAATATTATTATTATGATTCGTATTGCTATTATTAGTATTATTATTAATGTTATTTGTCGTCTTCTGCTGCGTCGCCACTCCAACGGGCCGCCGAGACTGGACGTCGAGAGATGGCTCACGACGGCGCGCGGCTCGACCCTTGCGGCCCTCGCGAGAAGGGTGGAAAACTGGCCTTGGGTTGCCCCCGCCGTACTTGAGGACCACACCCCAGAAATCATCTCGAGCACCCGGAAAAGGGTCGAAAGAGCGTCGAAACGATGCCGAAACAGTCTCCCAGGGCCCGACACGTGAAAACCCTTGAGTTTCGGTACCTTTTTCGGTGCTCGAGATTCTTCCCGGTGGTCGAGGCTAAAGTAGGTTGGAGCATCATAAGACTGGCCTCGGACCAGAGGTATCCACGGGCTGCGCGGGGCAGCGAGGCGTCTTGAGTCGAGAGGGCTGCGGAGAGAGGGGCAGGGGAGGGCAGGGGTCGTGAGGAGGGTCGACGGGAGGACGGCAGAGACGAGGCGGGGGACAATGAGTGCGAGGACGAGGGGAACGAGGAGGCGATGTTGAGCAGGGGCCGACCGTCCCGGCATTCCTGTAGGCCCACCACGAAACGTTCTTAGAACAACGAAAAGTTCCAGGAACAGGAGCCATGTTCTTAGAACAGAAGCCCGATGTGCTACAACAAGGCAGGCCCGGCCAGAAATGTTCGACGAACATCTCGGAGACACCACAAACAAGTTCTTAGATCAGTGCTTGGTGGGCCCATAGGCACGCCAGGACGCTTCGCCACTGCGTGGCGATGGGGGACGGGAGCGGAGAGGATGCGGCGAGGGATGCTGACGGCGACCACGCAAGAGAGCGCGAGGCGGTCCCTCACGATGCCGTCGCTGATCACCTTCAGGGAGGGCGGCGCGAACTCGCTCTCGATGTCGACCTTGAGGCCCAGGGGCGTGCCGGCCTCCCGCGCCTTCGCCAGATTCAGCTCCACTGTGAACTCCTTCTCCGGGGAGGAGGAGGAGGAGGAGGAGCAGCAGGAGGAGGAGCAGGAGGAGGAGGAGGAGGAAACATTGTTTGGGGATGAGACCTGTCGCTGGCACCCGGGTGGAGTGGCTCCGTCCACTCAGGTGCGGTAAGCAAGCCTCCCCGATAGGTGCACCCCATTCTTTTTCTTGGCGTGGAGTGAACAATCGGCCGGGATGCGCCTAGCCCCAGTGGATACGCACCGCAAAATGAAGTGTGTGCCGGGCCTACAGATTCTGCAGGAGGATGAGGAGGAGCGCACGAGCATCAGTTGAGGAGGAGGCGGCGGCGGAGGAGGAGGAGGACAAGGGGCGGGGGAGTTGTTTTTACGGCGCAAGGCACCTGAGGAGACGGAAGAGATCACCCCGCGAGGCGTGGGGGGAGACTGCACGAATGCCACCCCGCGAACACGTGGCGGCACTGAGGCCCACGACCAGACTTACAAAAATTATACTCCAAGGGAGCAGAGAAGGAAGCGAGAAGGGGCCAGGGCATTGTGCGGATATCCCCTGCGGCCTGAACCCCACTTCATTTGAAAGGCGCACAGCGACACTCCAGAGGGGAAAAAGGAGGAAGGAGGGAGGGAAGGGGAGTGAACAAAGTCTAGAGAAACAGAGACCCGCGCGTGCATACTCCGGAAGGGTTCCTCTCTCCGCCTCTCTCCGTTGGGTTATGCCCACGGTGCTCGCACAGTGTACCCAGCACCTAAGGAGGAGGATGTGAAAGCCAGCAAGAAGACACCAACAGGCGAGAAAGGAGAAGAACGGCGAAGGTACGCTCACAGCCAGAAGCCTCCACGAGTCGCAGTGCCTGACGAAGGCTAACAGTCAAATCGAATACAAGGGGGAGGGCGACGAAGCCGACGGAGGACGAGGGGCAGCGGAGGAGAAGGACGACGACGAATAGGAAGGAGGGAGTAGCGGGAGGAGGAGGAGCAGGAGGAGGAGGAGCAGGAGGAGGAGGGGGAGGAGGGCGACGAGAAGCATCAAGTTCGAGCATCAACAGGAGAAGTTCTGAGGAGGAGGAGGAGGAGGAGGAGGAGGAGGGGAAGGGAAAGTGAAACTCCTTCTCGAAGGCCTCCTTGCGCATGGCCGCGCTCTCCTGCAGAAGAGGCCCAAACGGCGCGAACACAATCCTCGGCGGGTCTGCGAGGATTTCTCGGGTCAGCGCTGGACCTCTCCCCTGGCGCGCGAAGCGACAGGGGGGCCGATTCAAGACGTCCCCGCGATCCTCCTCGTCCTCGTCCTCCTCCTCCTCCTCCTCCTCCTCCTCGTCCAAGACGTCCGCACGGCGGCCTGGAACATGGCCACAAAAATGCCGATCAAAAGTATTCGACCCTCCACCGAAGGCCCAAGGTCCCATGGAGACATCCCAAACTAATCGCATTCGGGTGTGGAGAGCCCGAGCAGAGGGTATCCCTCCCGAGCTGGAGTTGTTCTTGACTCTGTTGCGAGGTGGCCGGATTCGGCAACCCCGAACCTCAAAAAGTGGGCATCTTCTGCAGGGCCAGACTTTAGGTGCGCTGGCTTCCGCCGACGTGCCCGCCGCCCTTTTTTTGCTCCCGGCGACACATCGCCGCCTCTCCGCCAGGACAGCCGCCTCCCGATCTCTAAACGGCGAGCTCTTCTTCTGGACCGAGGAACGCCCAAGCTGCTTTCATGAGCGGCCCCAGACATCCCGATGCACTCCCCTGGGAATATTCTTTGTCCCAAATCCGTATTCTATGGGCCCAGGCCGGATGACGGACCCCCCGCGGCGACCGAAATCAAAAGACAGCAGAAAAGCATATCGTCGGAGACCTCGGTTTCCGTGACTTGGACCTCTGGCGGCCGTTCGGGGCGACTGTGGCACTCCCGAAACGCTCTCGGCGAGGCGCCGCTGCTGGATCCTTCAAGCTCGAGCTATCGGTGGCTCCTCAGTCGCCAGCTCGTTCCATGTGAGCCGACTTCTGGGCCACAGGCGGCGCTCGACCTTGCACGCCCGCGGCGGGGCCGCTGCCGCGTCGGCACGGCACGAGCCTGCCGCAGGCTTAGAGAGCCTCCAGGAGGCCAGCAGGAGCCAGCGAGGAGCAGACTCCTCGCGTGGTGCCGCTGTGGTTTTTTGCGGCCTCTCCTCCGGGGAGTGCGCCACCGCGGCGGCCGCGAGCCCAGAGCGCGCGCGGCCGCGCTGCGTCAGGGCGGCGGCGGGCAGCGCCAGCTGCAGCAGCGCCCCCGCGGCCCAGAGGGCGCGGGACATCGCGCTCGACCTCGCGCGAGGAGGTGGGGATCCTAGTCATAAGCGAAAGCTGCCAGCATGGGGGTCACGTCAGGGAAGGGCGATGATCCACTGGCGCAGCCCACGGGCCGACTTCTCTACGCTGCTTCTGGATGCTGGCTGCTCGCCGCAGGCGGCTCGGAAGATGTGCGTCGAAATGGACAGGGGTCTGGGTGCGAAGAGGCGGGGATGAGGGGCTCAACCCCCCAAGATGGCCGCAAGACGGCCCCAGCGGCTCCTGGTTAGTACTTTCGGGCCCCCCGGCCGCCCAAAGGCGGCGCCAGGGCCCGCCATCACCGCCCCGGTGGCGACCCAAGAGAGCTCCCAGAAGCGGGCCCCCTGAGAGCCTTGGCGGCCCCCGGCTCCCCGACCTCGCAGGACTTCCGACGGGCCACACGATCTGCGGCCCCACGCGGGGATGCACGATGGGGGGAGCGTCCTCCCCCCGGGATAGGGGGCGCGCCTGCATTTGCCCCTAGGGGTACACGTCGTTCATTTCTAGTCGCGCTCAGTTCTAATTGTGCTCGTTTGTAATTGTTCCTGGCCCCCTAGTGGCCAGGAAGAGGCCCAGGATAGAACAAGTAGAAATGAGAGGAACTTGGCCCCCCAGAAAATCAAATCACTTTCAAATAATTCGTAATTAACAATGTGTACGTCTCCCAGCCCTCCTTCGCTGAGCACTCGGTGCACGAGAGGGGGGCTGAGCTCCAGCACTGGGGGGCGGAGACATCGCCCGCGCGGTTGGGAGACACCTCTAGTGGACGCTTCGTGGGAGCGGCTGTGGACCAGCAGGCCAGACGAAGGGGCTGCCCGACCTAGTCAAACTGCACCAGGCCCACTGCCGGGGCTGCGCGGGGGCCGGCAGGATCGGGAAGGCTTTCGACTCCGGGACATACCGGCGTCGATGATCGCCGATGATCGGCAACCTAGAATGGAGGAGGATGAAAAGGACCCCCACTCCCTCGCGTAGGGAAGACATCACGGCGAAAAGGTTTTTGTCAGTAGAGCTACCCCGGATGGAAAACTACCCTGGGGGCCCAGATCGATAAATGAGCGAGAAGAGGAAGGAGAAGGAAGCACGCCCGACCTTGTATGGACAATCAAGTACAGAGTTGATATGACTGCACTGAGACTCTCAGTGCTGGACCAAGTAGTGTTTCGCTGCCCTCGACGGGCTTGAGACAAAACGGATGCGGTTCGCCGTCTCTCCCTGCTTGCTCCCCGGACGAAGAGAAGGGCGAAGAGGACAACGTGGCGAGTGATTACATGTGCGGAGGGAAGTAAGAAAAATATGGGCTGGGGCAGGAAACTACAAATCGTAAAACCGTAGCATTGAGGTACTGATGTAGCTCGCGCCTTGGACCATTGCACATCGAATTATCGGATACCGTGTATAGAGGCGCACGCGACGTTGACACGGGACACTGCTGTGAATAATTCGACGCATGCTTCGGATTCGATCCCGATAGGCTTCTACAACAGAATCATGCACACCATTCGTATGTACGTGTACCTGTTGAGAGTAATGTTAGCCAGCAAAGACCTTCAGTGTGCTTCTAGAAATACATATATAGTACAATATACGGTGTGCACTTTATTGTGCAGTCTATGCTGTGAAATATATGTCGTGGAATATGTGTGGGGCAGTTGTGCTGTGCAGAATATGTTGTGCAATATAGGTTTGCAAAATATGTGGTGCAGTGTGTGTTGCGCAGTAGGTGTCTTGCATCCCAAGTTGTGAACAATCAAGAAGCGCGCCGCAGGCGCGAACAAAACATCGTGTGAACGATGTGGTGCAATCGATATGGGCCAATCTGTGTGGTGCAATCTATGTGGTGCAACCCACTCTGCGGAACTTGAAGTCGTCATCTCCACTGCTCGCGCAAACATCCCACCCACCCACCCGCAACTTGGTTTGCAAAACCTGTTAAGACCGACTACGACGACACCGACGACAACGACTAGGACGACACCGACGACGTCTCCGACGACTTCGACGACGACAACGACGCCGACGCTGGCGACGACGAAGACTACGAAGACGACGCCAACGAAGGCGACGACGAGGAAGGAGGAAGGACGACGACGGCGACAACGACGACAACGACGACAACGACGAGGGAGGAGGGAGGACGGCGACGACGCGAACGACGACGAAGGAGGAAGGATGGCGACGCCGACGACGACAACGACGAGGGAGGAGGGAAGACGACGACAACGACGACGACGGCGACGACATAGGAGGGACGACGATGAGACGCCGACGACGGACGACGACGACGACGTAGGAGGAGGAGGAAGGACGACCACGGCGACAACGACGATGGAAACGACCACGACGCCAAAGAGGACGACGACGACAAACAGGAGAAAAGACAGAGGACGACGTAGGCGACGACGACGACGACGCGGGAGGAGGGAGGACGGCGACGACGACGACGACGACGCAAGAGCGCGCGCGCACGCTTTTGTTGAAAATCCGTGTTGCGAAACCTTGGGTTCTTGTAGGTTTTTTGGACGCACGATTTTGAAATCCTTCCGAAACCGATGGGTTTTGAAGGTTTTCGGCATACGCCCGCGACGACGCGCGCGTCTGCACTTCGTCCCATTTTTTGCAGAGGATTCTCGCGACGGCACACGCGCAAGGGCGTTCGACAGATTTCGACATGCGCGCGCGCGAAGCCCGTTGGGTAGCATTTTGTGAAAATCTTGCAAAACCTATGGTTTTCTTAAGATTTCGCAAGAGCTCGCGCGGAAGCTTTTTCAGCAAATTAGTGTTGCGAAACCATGTGTGGTTTGTATGGTTTTCGGAAACTGGATGGCGAAATCCTTCCGGCACCGAAGGCTTTTGGAAGGATTTCGGCATGCGCGGGCCTGGCATGGTATGATTTCATATTTAGGATGGACGAGTGTGCAGAATATATACGAAATTGTACTATCCCAGGGGGAAGCGATAAGTCCAGGGGGGGTAGAGTATATTCTCTTTTCAGAAAGGAGAATCTACGCGGTGCAATTAATCTTGACCGTCTTGAAGCTGTCCTCTCCACTGCTCGTGCAAACATCCCACCCTCCCACCCGCAACTTGGTCGCAAGACCTCTTCAGACAAGACCGTGACGGTAGGTACCACATGTCACTTGGCCACGACACCGACGCCGACGACGACAGCGACATCGAGGACGACGGCGACGCCGACACCGACTGCGACGACACCGACGACGTCTCCAATGTTTTCGACGACAACGACGACGACGACACCCACGACGACGACAAAGACGCCGACGACGTCGCCAACGGAGACGACGACGAGGGAGGAGAAAAAACGACGACGGCGACAACGTCGACAACGACGATAGAGAAGGGAGGACGGCGACGACGCCAACGACGAAGAAGGAGGAAGGACGGCGACGCCGACGACGACAACGACGAGGGAGGAGGGAAGACGACGACGATGACAACGACGACGAAGACGACGACGACGGCGACGAAATAGGAGGGACGACGACGAGACGCCGACGACGGACGACGACGACGAGGGAGGAGGATAACGACGAGGGAGGAGTGAAGACCACGACGACGACGACGACGACGACGACGGCGACGAAATAGGAGGGACAACGACGAGACGCCGACGAAGACAACGAGGGAGGAAGGACGACCACGGCGACAACGACGACGGAAGCGACGACGACGCCAAGACGACGACGACGACGACGACGACGAGGAAAGACAGAAGACGACGACGGCGTCGACGACGACGACGAGGGAGGAGGGAGGACGATGACGACGACGACGACGCAAGAGCGCGCGCGCACGCTTTTGTTGAAAATCCGTGTTGCGAAACCTGGGGTTCTTGTAGGTTTTTGGACGCACGATTTTGAAATCCTTCCGAAACCGATGGGTTTTGAAGGTTTTCGGCATACGTCCGCGACGACGCGCGCGTCTGCACTTCGTCCCATTTTTTGCAGAGGATTCTCGCGACGGCACACGCGCAAGGGCGTTCGACAGATTTCGACATGCGCGCGCGAAGCCCGTTTGGTAGCATTTTGTGAAAATCTTGAAAAACCTATGGTTTTCTTAAGATTTTGCAAGAGCTCGCGCGAAAGTTTTTTAGCAAATCAGCGTTGCGAAATCATGTGTTTTTGTATGTTTTTCGGAAACTCGATTGCGAAATCCTTCCGGCACCGAAGGTTTTTGAAGGATTTCGGCATGCGCGCGCGACGACGCGCGCGTGTGCACTTCGTCCCATTTGTTGCTAGGGATTCGCGAAAAAGTGTTATGTTAGAAAGAAAAATGTCCCCGCATAGTGTTATTTGACAGGGAACCGCAGGGGGGGGGGAACCCGGCTTGGCTGGGATGGTATGAACTCATATTTCGGATGGACATGTGGTCATAATCATATGTGATTTACAGCACGCGCGGGGGACCCGATAAGTCCGGGGGGGGGGTAGAATCTATTAGTCTTTTTAAAAAAGAGAATCCACTTCGACTGTCTTGAAGCTGTCCTCTCCACTGCTCGTGCAAACATCCCACCCTCCCACCCGCAACTTGGTCGCAAGACATCTTCAGACAAGACCGTGACGGTAGGTACTGCGTGGCACTTGGCCACGACACCGATGCCGACGACGACAGCGACATCGACGACGACGGCGCCGCCGACAGCGACTGCGACGACACCGACGACGTCTCCAATGTTTTCGACGACGACAACGACGACGACGACACCGACGACGACGACAACGACGCCGACGACGACGACGAAGACGACGACGACGTCGCCAACGGAGACGACGACGAGGGAGGAGAAAAAACGACGACGGCGACAACGACGACAACGACGATGGAGGAGGGAAGACGGCGACGACGCCAACGACGAAGAAGGAGGAAGGACGGCGACGCCGACGACGACAACGACGAGGGAGGAGGGAAGACGACGACGATGACAACGACGACGAAGACGACGACGACGGCGACGAAATAGGAGGGACGACGAC